GGCCAGCTTTTGCAGTGCCACCTAAGAACAGGCAATGCCAATTTAAGGTTTTTTGGGGTTGTTAGGCTTTTTATTATTTTATTTTTTTATTTGGGGGGGTTGGGTTTTTTGGGTTTTTTTACTGTAATCATCTCTTTGTTTTATGTTGGAGCATCAGCGAGGAGCTGATGCACTGAGTCTAACTTGTTTGCTAAAAATAACTTGGAGTTCCCGATCTACATTTTAGGTTTATCACGTATTTGCACTTCAAAAGCAAGGACAATGTGCAGACCTATTTTACTGTTAGTCATCATCTTCTAAGGAATAACCTTGAAATCCTAATTTGATTAACAACTTGTTTATGAATACAAAATTGTTTCTTTGATCCATCTGTTTTATGTTGTTTGAGGGAGAATCAGTTTGAAATCAAATTTTTATTTTAGGTTGACTTAAAAATTTTCAGTTTTCTATGTCTTTATATATGTTACAGTACCGTTCTATCCCTATTTGGAACATATATCTAAGTATTTGAAACTAAGTACAGTTGCACAGGATTCTATTCATTGGGCATTCTTTCCAGGCAAAATTGGAAAGAAATTTCTCTAACAATACAATAAAGCAAAGCAGAAGCAGCAGGAAATTTGGAAAGGTAAAGGAGATGGCAGCAGTTGAACCATGGCTGTCCTAAGCCAAAACCTTGACTTTTTACACCCAGATTAAGCCCAGAGACTTTGGCCTTTGAAGATCATCCATAAATCTTCAGGCCAGAGAGATTGGTATGAACTGTAAATTAGAAGCATCAATCCCCATAAACTCAGAAAATATTGTGGATAAAGGAATTTGAACAATTTTAGATCACAATTATTTAAACTGATGAGAAATTAACTCCATATTAAGTAACTGTAGAAAAGTTATCATAATTAAACATCTGAAAGAACGTATTTGTAGCCCTCTGTGATGATTAAAATTAAGGGAAAATGTGACAAGAGGAGTATGTTAAACAGAAAAATCACCTGATGATATTATCTGTACGAGAAATAAAGATCCTGTCCTTCGGTCAGTCTAGATCAGTCTAAACTTGCAGAGCAAAACTGAGCAGCAACTTCAGAGAAAAGGTAAGCTCCAATGATCTGTTATAGAAGCAAGGGAAATTAAGTTATATTACACTGTGACAAGATAATACCTTTCAGTAATTTTTCTCAATAACTTCTGAAGTCAGACAGTACATGCTGTGTTGTTCTGTGCTGTTCTGGGACGTACGTTTTTTACCATCTCTTTTCTAGCTACATCTTCTCCGTTATGTCAGTTATATTTGATAACCGATGTTATGAATAATCACATGAGGAATGATGACTTCTCTAATCGAATGACTTAAACATTGCTCCAAGAGGAGAGAGTTAAGTTCTTTAAATAGGAGTATGCTCTCAATAATAATTAAAATTATAATTCTTGTTTTCATCAAAATCCAAAAGTTTAGCTTCATACTTGTGGCTAGTTAATTGATACCCGTTTTTGGTGATAGGGCAGACTGAGGCATATAGAAATAGAATCATTGAGGTAGGACAGCATGGCATTGGCGGGAGCCAGGAATAGTATTCAAACCTACTGCCAAAGTGACTTCCAATGACAGAAATAGATACACCCTTTAGGCAAAATACAAATGCATGAAAATATTTGGAACTCGACAGTCTGGAAGTATTGCATGCTTCCTGCAAATGTGTCATTCCAGTATGTCAGATAAAAATATCTGTGAGAATGAAAGGGATATTCACAGAAGATAGCTCACATATAATTATATTGTATAGAATTCTGTAAAAAAATTTAATATTATCAGTAATTTTTACTGAACATTAAATACCTCAGTATTTCTCAAGTGTCCTTGGGGCTTTTTAGGTATGGCTAACATTAAACCATAAGATCTTCACAAAAGTTTTAAAATATGTGAAAGAGATTTGCACTAATAAATTTCACGTGTGTCTAAGTTATGATTATTTTTACTGTGTTTTGCATGGTATTTCTGTGCTAAAAGACAAAGTACCTAAAAGTGTGGGATTTTTTTAATGTAAGACAAAGTATTAGCACCATACCAGATTCTGCCCAAACAGGATATTTAGGTGACACGTTTCACTGTTGGTGCTGGAGTAGCGTGTGAATACACAGAACTTGTGAAATAAAAAAATGTCTCAAAAATGGGACACCCCCTCCTACCCTAACAAAAGACTTTGAAGGGAAATGCAACTCTCTGAGCATCTGGAGCTGAAGAACTTGATTATGTGAGTTGGCATGAAATATACTTTGTAAATCAAAGGAGAATCTAAAGCAATATAGTTCTACAGAAAAGACATGATGCTAAAAAGGCCTTGACCCAAAACTCCTACTTGGAAGAGTAATGGGGATGCTGACAGACAGAATAATGTGGGTGTCCATGATTCTGCCTAGCTGTGTAAATTTTTTTGTGCTGTCTAAAGTAGACCATTCTTTTTAGAATCGCCTTTTCTTGCAAAATCTTCAACTGTTTGTGTCAAGCATCCGGCAGTTTTGTAGAGATAAATGTACCCGTCCGAGTGAAGCGTTAGGGAAGAATGTGTTTATTTTCTTGTGGGTAGTGTAGGGCAGCTTGCAGAGGAAATCGCATTTTCCAGAATACAAGTTGATCTCATAAAGTGCTGAAAAGAAGATATAATAGCCTGTTCGGACCAACCTAGGCTAAAATTGCAGTGCATACACAGGGCAATTCTGTGATTATACAGAGGTGGTTTAGGAGAGTGGTGATAGCCTGCAAGAACAATATTGAGCAAAATTAGGTTTCTTGAATTTGAGATGATTTGATGACACTCAGCTTTTCACAAATCAGACCCTTAATTCAGTTGGCAAGATTAGCTGAGCTAGTGTTAGATTAGATCAGACTATGCCCTAGACCATTGGAAAGCAGCTCATCTGAAAGTGTGGGCAACACAGCACCCTCAGAAGTCCGTTACTTTCCAATGCCACAGTTACTGTACTACTTTAAAACTGTAGTGTCCCTCTGATCATGTTAAAGAAAAGGGCTTGGCGAGATGTGACACCATGTATAAATTACTTTATTTCCTTCATCACATCAACATTACAGAGGAGTGTTACGTGGATGGAAAGAAAATATTCTTTAGGTTTTCACAAAGAATTTTTTCCTCGTGGAAAACCATAATCATAACAGAGGATTTCAATCTAGCCGGTCAAGTTGTTGCGGTAATGAAGAGCCTGCTTCTTTGGACTATTGCTTAGTAGTTAAATAGAATTCCCTGCCATAAGCTGCCAAAAGATGAACTTTTGCCTTACCTCCCTCATTAAGAAACTGAATTTAGCCCTTGCAAATTTTTTTTTTTTTTTTAGTACTGAGACTAAAATTCATTTCACTGACTATTCTGTTTCTGGTAGTGGCTCATAAACGGCTGCCTAGGGAACAGTATAACAACAGAGCTGGGAAGAGTAACACTTTGCTGTGTTCTCCTAGTCTCCAGTGACCAATGACATTTAGTAGCCATCCCTTCATTTTTGTCTTTGATGTGTCTAATCACTTTTGAGCCAGTATAAAAGTCGGGCATTCCCAGCCTCCTGTAGAAATGAGTTGCATAGCTGAGCAAGACTAGCATAAAAACTATCTCTTCTTGCTTATTTTGAATGCACATTCTGATTTTTTTTCAGTGCTCTCCAATGCTTGTATGAGAAACAGTGAACAGTAAGTTTCTCATGGTACTTTTGATTTTATAAGTTCTACCATATGCCTCTTCAGTCACGTAGTGTCCCCTGATTAAAGAAACCAGGTCTCAGGCATAACCCATTAAATGGATTTGATCACTTCTCTGTCACCATTATTTGCTTGTTTTCTTCTCTCTTTTTTTACTTTTTGTATTTGTTTTTGTTACCAGAACAGTAATGTATGGATATCCTGTAGTCTCACAATCTTTTTGCTAATAATTCTAATTATTGAATCATTGCTTTTTTCTGATGCTACTAAACACTGAGATGGTGGGGATTTTATGGACCTGTTACGACTGTTTGATCTTTTTCTGGGTTGGTAATAGCTAGTTGATAGTCAGTCATTGGATTTGAACAGGTAGGATTGTTTTTTCCTTGTGTTCACCTCTTTCAGGTTGCAGTATATTTGCACTCACAGTGTTTCCCATAGAAATATTTCAACTTAAAACTTTTAAAAATGTTACCTATGAAGTAGAGGAAAATGGATCATTTGTTTTCAAAATTGTAAATTGAATGAAAGTGAATTATTTAAATAAACTTTATAAATATTTAGAGATGCAATTGATTTTTGTTTTACAAACGCTGGAAAGTTAGACAAAGAAATGAGCTTTAGAAATGTGACCTAATCTTGCTGCATTAATAACAAGCATAAATAGGTGCTGCTTTTGAAGCTACAGGGATAATGTTCACACTCTTCCTCTTGGAAGAAAAAACTGTACATTAACTCAGCTTTGAATGCATTTTAAAATCAGCCTGAGGAGGAAGATGGGCAGAGGTGTCATCCTCCCCTCACCACCTGTGAGAAAACTGAAAAGTTGCGGATAATATCTTTTAGTTGGAAAATGCAGTGGTAGCTCTTAACTAACAATAGAAGTACAAGGAACTCTTTTAGCTGTCAAACCCATGAGGAGGCGGCAATAACACTCTTGTAAATTATTCAGTTTTGTCACACAGAAGATAAAATTGTGTTTGAAAGAATTGCTCTCTATGTTTTCTCAAGAAGGCAATGGAGTGTGCAGCAGAGGGAAAGAATTTATATTGTCTGAATTTTTCAATGGAGGTTAAGAAACTTTTTGACACTCGTGCTTAATTTTTTTAAATTGTATAACAGACTATAAATAACACACCATTGCACAGAATGTCATTTGCTGTCTTCACATATGTGTGAACTTTGCTTCTTCTGGTGCATTCAGTGTTTAAATGTGTTTCCATCAATATCACACATGGTTGGAATAGATTCCCAGAGATTACATTCATTTCTCTGTATCACCGCTTTTCTTTTTTAGGGTGTTCTTGAGAGCCATCAACAAATTTGCAGAGACAATGAACCAGAAATTTCTGGAGAATATGAATTTTGAAGTCCAAGTAAGTGTTGAGGCTTTTTAGCTGAATTGAGGTGGTATGTGCAGGTATGATCATTCTGGTCTGTCAGAGCTCCTTCTGGTACTTTGTATCAAAATGACTGTCGATTTGAGTTTGGCAGGATTAGGCCACCTTTGATATGACATGAAAATTGTACTTGGATTATTTATGATAAGACACCCAGAGTATTTTGTACATGGATTCTCTCAGAACTGGCAAGCAGAAAACTTTTTTTTTTTTCTTAGCCAGCCAACTGTATTCAGAAAGGCAATCTTTGATGTAATGCACGTAGCCTTTACAATGTCAATGCTATGTATGTCGGGCAGAAAGAGCTTAACTTTCTTTGATTCCTAAAGTATTTAGCACTTAAAATTTATTTTTAGCTTGTAGTCTTCCCTCATAAATCTATCTTTATTTATTTTCCTTCATTTTTAGTAGTTCTTTCTGAAATAATTTAAAATTGCAGGGTTTTTTTTAGTCTGCTCAATATCGTTCTTAATAACTAACTGGTCATGCATTTTACCATATGTTTGACTTGCTTCAGAAGAAAATGACAATGTCTGCAGTTTTCACATGCATGAAATTGTTATTAAAATGTAAATACAGTTTTAGAATCAGGATTTGTCACTAAATGCTGCTTGATTATGCTATGTGCTATAGATAGAAAACACACTAACAAAGTATAGTTTGAAAAATTATTCTATTTCACTCTTTATATTAACTGCAGTTAAGAGTAAATGTTTTAAGTTCAAAAATGCTTCACGATTACAATCTAATCTGTTCATTAGATAATAACTTACTGACTCTAACCGTGAAGTTCAGAGAAAGTTCAGGGCTCTGCCTTCTTGATTTCTTGGGGTTTGTACTTTATGGTTAATCTCACAACTTGCGTTCTGGTTTAAGTGATTCTACTCTACTGCATGTGAATGTTGAGGGTTACTATGTTAAAAACTGTTTGGGTATTGGTGTCTCGGTCCTTAACATAAAATACCTCCATCACAAACAGCTACAGAGCCATCACGTAAGTGGTTACACAGGAAGAGTTCAAAAGACAATAGTAAAAAGGAAGGTAAAACATTCAGTTCATACTCAGTTACAGTGGCCTCCAAGTATGAAATGTAGAGTTTTTTCTCATTTGTCTCATTAAAAATTTTGTGCCTTTGAAAGATGTGACTTTACAAATGTATATATGTAGAATGTTAATTAAGACTTTTGAATCACGGGGAAAGATGTTTGTTCTGACAAAATTTCTATTTAGTAAATATCCCAGCTGGAAACTCTCAAATCCTTGACGTATTTGTGACATCATGTCTCTTAGGCTATTTTAATTTATCAACAACATATTTGTAACCTATCATTCCTGTAATGCTTGATCATTTTTACTGCACAATGTGTCAGTAACTTTTAAAAGCATATGAAGTACACCTGGTGAACATCAGGATGTGTAGGCTACCAAAAACATGCAGGCTACTATAAAGACTGTGTCTCTCAAAATTTTATTAAGGTGTACACTACCTCTTTCAAAAGTTAAAACAGCAGACTAAACCTGGAAATTTTATTTCAGATAAGTTTCCTGTGGCAATCCTGTGCATTTCAGAACGTTCTCAACCAACCAGGGACATTGTAGTTCAACATTGAACCTTGTAGTTCAAAGGAATGTATTAATGCTTGCGCTTTTATTCATGACTTGTCACATACCTGGAGGCTTTGAGTAAGCTAAACAACGTTATAGTAAATAAGTAGTGGCATCTAAAGGATTGTGGTACCCTAATAGTTTTCACAAGACTGAAAAATACAAGTCAGGGAGATAGTTACTTCCATGAATAAAAACTCTGAAAACCGTCTAACAGTACCCTAAATAGACCTATTAAAAAAGCTGCTGCTGGACTACAGGAGGTCTGAATAATGCAAAGTATGTTGTCTAAGTTTTCTTAATTAAAATTTAAAATTTTATTTCACACTATTATCGATACATATTCAGATCAGTGATAGCTGAAGATTTTCATGTTTTAAAGGTTCTTCTAATTTAAAAAAAAAACAAACCCTATAAATCAGTGTCTTGCAACTGTTCAGACTGTGAAAACTTCTCTATACAATAGTTCACTTTATGGGTTCGGCCTCTGGGGCTGTTATTCTTTTTAGATTTAATATTTGGTTTTCCTCAGTTGTTTTGGAGTATTTTTAGTTATTAAACAAACAAGTAATCCTTCTTTGTGCAGCTGTTGCAGTGCTTGTATGTTTTTACTGTAGCAATTAAGGTACCAACAAGCTAATATCATAAAGTAGGTTTTGTTTTCACAGCTGCTTCGCAAAAGAAAATTCTAAATCAAGCTCTTTTTCGTTATTATTTATCCATCGCTTCATTGTTAGGCTTTTTGGATACGGAATTGTGAAGAGAAACTAAAGCAAAACTTTGAGGTGCACTTTCCTTCAAAGGCGAGCAAATCTTTGGGATTTCTTTGAAGTGTCTCTATTTAAAAGAAATGTAGGAGTTTTAGAGAAACCCCAGGAGGAGATGGGTACGCAGGAAAGAGCCACAGTGCACACCAGTGGGGTTCCCTTTGGACTAGAATCAGCAGGCCAGGTCTTCACTACAGGAAATCTAGGATATGCTTCCTAGAACCAGAACTGAGGCAGTCGCATACTGTGGAGTGCAACTTAACCTCAAGTCTTTACATGGGGCTCCTTTTCAAATTCCAGAACAAAGATGTGATCTTGAAACGTGCTGCTTCTGTTGCTGAACCTATGAGAGATTTTAGTTAGCTCATTCAATGTGTTTTACAAATAATGTCCAACTGTTTTACTTGATATGAATAAGTACTAGGAGTCGTGCATCTAAATTTAATCTAACTTTTAAAAGATATTGTATGCCTGTGTTAAATAAGTAACTACTACAGATCTAAAAAACTTAAGTAAATTATTGCATATACAGTTTCTGTTAAATGGATTTTAATAAAAAAAAAAGCCGAAACCACGAACTGTTTATTCAAGGGTCAGTTATTTAGTATGCAGCAGCCTTCAGGCAGTCTAGTCTCCTCTAAGGGGTATGTGTACTGCTGATTTTCTGGTTTCAAAGGAAAAGGGATGAATAAAGTTCAGATTGCTACTGAGCTTATGCAGCAAGATAAATGGCTGAAGAATTTGGAATCTAAACCAGAGGCAACTATCTTAATATTCCTGATGAAGGCCAATTTAAACTATAGAAATAGAATATATTGGGATAGGGAAAATAGAGATGCAATTGGTGAAGATTAAAAAAAAAAGTTACATCTTTAAGTTCTTTGTATACAAGTGAATGATTTATACTGTTTGTAGGATGGTATTTTGAAATCTGATTATTAAAAATAGTTCAAGAAAAGTCTTAATTTAAAAAATAAATTTAAAAAAAGCAATTTAAAGGACAGTGAAGTAGATCTGAGGATTTTTCACTTGGCTGAGAGGTTGCATGAAAATATATAGCAGACAACCTAACCAAGCAAAACAAGTAGACTGTGAAGTAATTGATCAACTAAAAAAGGGTGTTTTAAATCTAGACAAAAGCAATGAAGAAATTTTTGCTACTCTGTTGGCGCTTGTTAAATGGAGGAAAAAACATTCCTGGCCTTTTTCTTGCTTTTTTTACTCAATATGTGATTCAGGCAGAAATGAATGTAGTAGTACCATTTAGGACCTGTGAAAGGATGTGCTATATCTGATGAACAACGGTTACAATCTTTAAGTTTAAAACTATGCATAAACTTAAAGCCATAGGTTCAATGATAAAGGTATTATATACCTCGGAGACAAATACCAAAACTATGCACAGCACAGTAGTGATGTACTGTTACATTTTTGCCTTAGTGTGCAGTCAGTTTGGTTCACTGGGTCCATTTATATAGAGCCCTTTTTTAACTACCAGTGTTTTGACACTCAGATTGTCATTGCAGTGGTCAGGCAGGAAGTGCCAGAGCTGCTGCTTGGGTTGAGAATCATTAATCATAGAGGTAATTAAATAATCACCTGATGCCCGAGATTATATGCCTGCTGGGTGAGGAGGTGGTTTTCTCTGGGCATGTTTTGAGTTTTGCACGCAGAGTTGACAAGCTGGATGTATTCAGATGTACGTCAGTTACTCTCAGAAAATAAGCCACAGTTAGGTTTGCATACAGCCGGTATTCGCCAACGTCATAATACAGCAAAAACTAGAACAATAAAGAAAGGACTAGCTAAAAACCATTTGTTACAGAATATTTACTACTGTGCTGATGATAAAAAAAAAAAAATTGTTAGCTCCAGAGCAAATAATTTTACAGTAGAGAAGGGAGTGGATTTTCATTAAATGATCGACCAAAAATAATCCCTGAGGCAAGAATGAACGAGGGCTCACAATATTCATGGTACCTTAAGCTTGTGAATGCATACAGTACCAACAGGGAGAGAATCCTACATAACATATTAATGTGTGTTCTTCAGTACTGAAATTAAACTGGAACATGAAGATTTAATACACAGAAATCTGGAGTTTCAGTAGGAATTATTGTAATAGGTAAAAAACTTCAACATTTAGCAGTTTATTCATGTCTCTGAAATAGGTTATTGACTTGCATTTGTTAGATATAAACAGAGTTGTGTATTGAAACAGATTATCTAGCAAGGCGAGGAAATATTTCTCACATAAAGATTCTAAAGAATGGATTCATCTGTCCGAAGCAGTTTAGCAGTTCTTGCCTTGAGATATGGAGCTGGATTCGCTGACCTCTCAGGTTTCCTTCCAGATAGATGGTCTATGTTTACACTAGAAATAGTTCACTGAAGTGTAAATCATGTCACTGAAGGTTTGCAACTATGGAAAGTAAAATAGTTTAAGAATCTTTATTCAGAGTGAGCATATTAAGATAATGTAAGGGGATATATTGATGGTATACATGAAATATATAGAAAATAAGTTAGGAAAGCAGGTGTGAGGTTAGGCTTTTTTCTGAAGACCACAATGATATATTGTCTTAATGGCGTTTAGGTTTTCT